GAAAGCAAATGTATTTCGAATATCTTTTCATTATACCTGCTAGGTTTTAAGTTCATTTTTTTTCTCCTAAGTTAAAGACTTTGGCATCTATTTATTTTTTATAAAGTTAAATATATTAATTTAGATTGTCTCCCTATTTGACTACAAAGAAGTGCTATTATTTCTCTATGTACAAATTATGGAAACAGATATCAAAATACTTTCTTCTTTCCTACTCAGTTTTTTGCTTGTCTGTTTGATTGGCTTTGAGTGAGTTTTTTTGCCTTTTGTTGTTGTTGTTGTTGTTTGTTTGTTTGTTTTATTTGTTTTAGGGGTTTTGGTTTTTTGTTTTTTGGTTTTTTTTTTTAAGTAAAAGGGAAAAGTTTGGGAAGGTTTCAGAAGTTTTAGAGACCTTTTTAGTAAGTCTTACCCTGGAAGAAATTTTTTTTTTTTTTTTCAAGACAAGGGCAAGTTTTTAAGTGATCTCCAACTTTTTATATGGAGGTGTCATTTCAGATGGTACAGGACTTTCTTGTTCATCAGAAGATGGTGCAGTAAGATAGCAGGGACTGGAAACTGAAGTTAAAGAAATTAATGTTATACATAAGTGAAATAATTGACAACTGAAACAAGCTGATCTAAAGGCTTGTGAATTTTCCATTTTTTAACATCTCAATTTAAAGTCTGGATGTCTCAATTTAAAGTCTGGATGTCTTTCTAAATTCCTTCAGAATTTAAGGTTGAACAAGAAACAATGCAGGGATTACTGGGTAACGCTCTGTGGCTTATGTTAAGAAGAGACTCAAATTAGCTGGAACATAACAGCTTTTTCTCTTCTTAAAATTTGCGAATCATCCAAAAATTTTTCTGCCAAATGAAGAGAAGAGAAGAATGAAGACTGCAAATATTTCTGAAGAGGGGAAAAAAAGAAGCAAATAATCCCTCTAGAAAAACCCACATATGTATGTGAGGACTTCAGCAATAACTTGAGACTATAAAGTACTGCTGAACTGTCAAATCACTCATAGACAGAGAAAACTGCTAAATACTTCTAACATCAGTAGCATTTCTGGCACATTCCTCTCCAGTGCTGTTCTGTGCAGTGTAAGACTCTCTCCTGCCTTTTTCATCCACCAACCTAATTTCTCACTGTTGCGCTTCTTTTATCAATTCCTATATCATACTGTTCTCTTGGGTGTGTTTGGTTTTTTTTCTTTTGACATTATCAGGCCCAGCTACAAGAGAAAGGTTCTCCCTGGTGCTTCAGGGCAATTTTGCATCCTTCCCTTGCGCACACAGCACAGGCAGTCAGGAGCAGAGTGGAGTCAGCAGGAAGAGATAAAAGATCCTGATGGGATAGAGCAACCTAAGCCCCCGCTACTAGCACCAACCACCGTTTCATGTGCTGAACCCCATAGACAAATTAATGAGTATAATGTCTTCTTCAAGAAGAATGCTGTGTAGCCTTTACTGCATCTCAGCTGTTCTCGCATTTTACGAGTAAAACCGTGTAAAAAAAATTTTGGAATGTCATCAGTAAAGTGGGCAATCAAGAAAAGCATGAGCTTGATACCATAATGAGAAAAACTCCTGCAGAAATGTGCTAAATGTGAAATTCTGAAAAGTTTTTTATGAGATACAGAAGCCATAATGCTCACAGTCAAAATAAGGAGTTGGGATAAGATTCACTACAATAAGTTTAGTTTGCTGACAGGCCTGACTGCTGGTGTAACTCACCTCAATGACTTCAGCACACTTGTGGAGTGAGGGAGAGAAGGAACAAGATGCAAGTATGTCTGCAATTTGGTTCCCGTGCAGAGGGTCCTCCCAGGCAGTTATGCTTAGAAGCAGCTATGCACCCCAACCCACTTAGTTGCCCACAGCTGCAGATTTATTCTTAGTTTCAGGAATGTGAATCCTCACAGACATGGTAATGGCTTCATGTCAGCTAGGAGACAGGTTTTCTCCTCAAGATATTTCTCTCTGTGGGTGGATGAGGGGGGTTTAGTGACATCTGATTTCTGAACCACATCAGTCACTTGAGGTATCAAAAAGACTTTCCTGGATTACACTGGTCTTGCTAGTTCTGTAACCTCTACCTACATGCAGCTCAGTGTGTTTCATTAAGAAATCCTACTGTAGGCATATGACTGAAGCATAAGACACGGCCAAGCTCCATCTGCTCTGCAGCCTTGAGAAGAAAAATGAGAGATGCATACTGCAGGTTGGGCTGACAGGATGGGTGCTGTACCCCTGTGCTGGCATAGAACTGCATCTCAGCCCACAGGCCACAGTGAGAAATGGTGCTCATGATGCCATGTTACTTCTAGAAACACAGTAGTAGGTCAAGGAAATCAAGGTGATGTGCCATGAGACCTCACAAGCCTCTTTGTAAGTGCAGGCCTCTCTATAGTCTCCTCTACTTGCAATAATAGATATTTGCTCCTTGGCTAAGCCAAGACCAGCAGAATAAACTCAGGCAAGCACAAGGACTGCAAAAGGATCCTGCATTTCTCCATCAACCAGGAGGGAAAAGCAGGTTTCTTTGACACATTTACCCAAGAAAATCCAGAACAATGTCCATGCATATTCTAGAAAACTTCTTCCAGAAATTCCAATGCACAGACATCCTCTCTGAGAACAAACATGAACTCAGAATTATCCTGCTGTTCCCTGGGAAAGAGTTCAGGCCTTAATATAATAAATGTACAAGAACATAATTCAGGCAAGAACATCAAGGTTTCTATTTCTTTCAAAAGTTGATGGATTATAGTTTGCTTATTTAGCCTTTAATATTTATTGCAGTGATTCTGAATATCCTGAGTGGTGCTGAACATTATCCTATCCAATCTCGTTCTTTTGAGCACATCTTAAATACACGAAAAGTTTTGTCCTCTCTATGTACTAAGCCCTGCTTTGTCAAGCCATTCAGCTAAGTCATTACTAAAAATAATCTTCCGTTCTTAACCTTCTATATTCTCAAGATTTCCCTAATCATTACAAACTCCAGCCTGTGCCCCTTGACAATGTCTCATTATAACAACCTTACTGCTCAGATTCTTATGCAGTACAACCAGCCACTGCTCAGCTGAAGTCAATGAAGGGACACTGATTTATGAGATCTGTCTCTTCCCTATCTTCATTTCTGTTAAGTGACCTTTCAATGAATACGAGCGTATAGAAGGGTAAAATCTGACATGGGAATAAGACAAAATATATTATGAAGATAAGCAGGTTTTCTACCTTGGTGAACACAAGCACTTCACTTGAAAGACAATCCCTGGGGAAATTTGGACATGTCAATAGTCTTCAACCTGTTTCTAAATGAACTATAATATATGATAAATTTTTACAACAAGCAAGCAAATTTGCACCAATTAATGATATTATAAACAAAAATCTATTGCTTTTAAGAACAAACATAAACTTTTCTTTCAGTTAGGTGCCAAAATTTGGCTGACTTTGTACATTAGAGGAATCAGGCAATTCTGCCACATTTATCCTTTTGTGATGCAAAGCTACATAGAGCTCTGTACAAGCTATTTGCTGTATGTCTTCAAAGAGCTGAAGCATCCATTCAGCAAAAGACAACAGGTACTCATTCGCACATGAATCTGACAGTGTGTAATACTGTTAGTAGACTGTACTTGCTAAGAATGCTAGCAATAAATTTAATGTAATGAAATGGAAAGTCAGACATGTTAGAAGTTATTTATGTAGAAATAAGTCTGTTCTTTGAGGAAGGACAATGAACTGGGTTCTCAGACCAGTCTGACAGTGTCCATATAAAAAATGAAATCATCTAAGCCAAGCAAAGCATTCTACTGCTAGGGTTCCAAAGGATGAGAAGAAAAGTAATAAGTCATGGAAGTCCTAGTGAAACAGGTAGACCAGGCCATCCACACTGTTTCATATATTGTACCTCCACAGTATTCCAGTAAAATAGTGTCAACAGGTAACATTAACAACAAATTTAGGGGATAAAATCCTGTCTCCATTGAAATCAAAGCAAAATTTCACCATTTTCAGAATCAGGATTTCATCTTTGAGTACTTTTATTTTCAAGTATTCACAGCGAAGAGATGTCTGGAGAGGTGTCCGTCTTTCAGCGCTCAGCCCCTCTAATTGTTTCCTGCTCTTAAAAAAATTTGTATTATTAGATTTTGAGAGACATATTAACACTTAGCTCCACTGGCTTCTTATCTATTTCAGGAACATCCAAACAATAATAACTAAAATAAATAACTTTGCTTGTTTCCATCATCATCGGGGGACTGGCATCATACATTTTTTCTTCCTTCTCCTCCCTCTATCCATCCTGCACTAGCCTTCTTTTATTGCTCGCTCCGGTCATGGTTAATATGAGAACTATTTCTTCTTTCACCTTCACTGCCTCTTTTCAAGGCTTAGCTGAAAGTGACTGCTTCTTCTAGCCAACATAATAACAAGGAGCTTTTATTTTTTCATTCAGGTATGTCATTTGGAAGAAGGAGAGGTATTTTCCAGGATACTCAATACATTCAAGACCTCCTAAACATACAACACGACTCTTTTGATTTGTCTCTATCCATAAAAGGATATAGGCAAACATATATCCCTAAAAAGGGGCCGAAAGAATGTTTTCTAGTGTTTACAGCCTTTCAGAGGAAAGCCTGTTAAAATACAAGGGAATCTGTCACTATAAATGATGGAATCCCACAAGACAAGAGTGAGGATTAGCCTAACAAAACATCTGCCTATGTCAACAGTGAAACAAAGCTCCATCAGACACTGATCCAGGCAACTTAACATCTTCCTCCACCACCACCACCTCCCCACTGACAGCTGGCCATGCATACAAAGCATGTCTGCCTCTCCCTGACACCACTCCAAAGACTGCAAAGATAGCGCAAGTGTGGCTTCCTGACAGTTCTGTCTAAGGACTTCACACCAAAAGCATGTACAATGCTATAAATGTTTCACTCTCCCTCACAGCAAAGAGGTAAAGGTTTTATTTCTCCCAAGAAGACAATCTTACTTACTTGGGATAGCGTCTCTGCTGAAAGATGGGCAGAATCTCTGTATCTTGATTTGAATGTAGAAGCAGTAAATCCCGAAATCTTTCTGTCAGGACAAAGAAAAAAAAAAGGAAAAGAAAAGGAAAAAAAAAAAAAAAAAAAACAAACCCAGACTGTGACTCTGCACTGTAAGTTCAGGCCATAAGTAAGCAAGCAGTAATATCAGTGAATTCTCTTCTCCAGAAATATTTAGCAGAGGACAAGACTAAGTGTACAGGGACTAAAGATCACCTGTAAAACATTTTAATGTTTTAAAATGTAATTTTTTTCATTCAATATTGAATTCTAGTAGTCCTTATAAGTTTCTGAGGTCTGCATAGAGGTCTTTGGGGTATCATACTCAGACAGCCATAAACAGTCCCTCCCTTGAAGAGCTTAGTCTAAACAGAAAGGAGAAGGCACTAAGAATTCACCAGCCACTGAAGGATCACAGTAGTTTAAACAAACATAGATTAATTAATTAATCTAAATTAAACTGCAGTACAAATCCTTCAGTAACCAATTCACAGGTATTTGCAAGGATTGTTGGAAGACTGGATTGCTTTTTCACCACTATTACGTATTTTAAAAACTGCAGGATAGGATCATCTGAAGGAGGTAAACTTTTGTAACTTATCTTCACTGAGCACCAAATGAAGGGGTGGTTGTGGTTTGCATAGCTGCCTTTGATGCTTTTCTTTCTCTAGAGGTGGTTAGACACAATATGTCAAATGGGATCTGTAGGAGCTTCTAGTGGTACTGATTTCTCAGTTCCTTGAAGATGGAAACCTCCTCAAAATTCACTTGATACCCAGATTCAGGGATAGAATTTCCCCCACAGATCAAATCCCTCTGGCACACCTGTAGCTCTCCATAGCATGGGACATGCTCTGTTTGCTTCTTTCCTTCCGTCACCTGCAAATTTTAATCAGTCCTACAGTGGCACAGAACCTAGGACATAGGTGATACCCTTCCTATCTCCTACTCTTCCTGCAATACCTAATAACTGTGGATTTAAGTCTTCAGCAACAGGTGTTACCCTTCATTTCCTAAACCATAGTTTGCAACCTGTGTTGTGTATAGCAGCTGTACCATGGATTTCTCTAACCTATTCTTCCACAGCAGTTCTTCATTCTGGGAACTGAACCTGAGGGTAAATGTAGTCCTCCTCCTTTTAGATCCCTATGTATCTCAAAATATCCTCTAACGTCAAATATATAGATAAGGAAATCAAGGGACAGAAAAGCATTTAGTTTTATATAATGCTACATCATCATAACTAAACTCCATTAATTTGGATATAATTCTGCCATGTAGCCTCTAAAATGGAAAAAATCCCCACCCAAACCCATACTTCATAAAGTTGCAATACCTTGAAGAAAGCACAATAAATTCAGAAAGAAAACTCTCTTGTTAAGGGCTTAGTTTTAAAGGTCAATTGTCTCACATCTCTCTAGTCTTTCACCGGATGGCTAAGACATATTACAAACATCTTGGACAAGATACCAGGATCTGCCAGTGAAGAAACAAGAGCTTATCTTTGTTCCTTTATTTCTATACCTCTTCAGATTCAATTTTGAAGAAAATAAGCACTCCTACCTCCAAAAATCTTACCATATCCTCAAAATGTAGCTTAGCTTTCCTGCACCTAACTAGAGCAGGGACTGGACGTGGCCAACAAAAATAAATGCAATGCTGTAAAGATGAAAGTGAAAGCCAATGAGTGCCTGTCATGGAACAGCCTGCTCACTGTCTTGACAAAAAGCTTACCATTAAAGCTACCTGCCTAAACATGATACACTATGATCTTGAAAGGCACTGGACAAGAACTGAAAGGCTTAAGAAAGCTTTCACTGATGCAAAATGTCCCACTGCGTATCTTCAGAGCTAGAACATTAGCTTCTACCTCTACCTCAGGAATCTTCCAATGTAATTCAAGCTACTGGTGCATTTCCAGGAATCCAGGAAAGTCTTCATACGAACAACAGCCTTTATGTGCGCATAGTGAATGTGTGTGCCTGAATGAGGAAGTTTATAACGGTAAACACCAAATGACAGCACTTCTTTCCATAACTTGAAGATTTTGACCTCCAGAATCAGGTCAGTGATTCAGTGAGACACTATGGTTAAGGATCTGCCTTTGTGGTGGCATGACTGATTTATTTTTGAGGGCCTGTACCGAGGTTTGACAGAAATGCAAAACATGGACAGACATGCTCTTATTCAGTTCAATGCTGCACAACACCACATTACAGGTAGGTGAGCAAAGCTGTTTTGTCAGACCTTGCAAAAGGCCTGTGACTCTGGGAGAGACAAAACATCTTGGTGAGTGAGCAGATATGTCCTGCTCCATTGTTCTCTCTCAGATGGATATCACCTAGGCGGAGAGTCGTATTCCATCTCTATCCCCTACCCTGTGACTTTTTCTTGTACTGCTGCCCTTTCCCATTGATCAAGGCTATCTGGCTGCACTCCAGGACTCAATTCAACAAGCTGAGATCTTGAAAATATTTTGAATAGTAATGTGACAGGGCAGGCCAGTACTGGAGCAAAACCAGCCAAGTTATGGCATCTGAAATTGGCCTAAACAGTTTTCCTACTGGATCTTGTTTTAGTTAAAATCAGCTTTTATTTTTTTCCCCATGTTATGGCAAATTTCCCAGGCAGATTTATTTTCTTTTCACCATATGACTTTACTCATTTTTCCATGTGGCGTGGCTTAAGCTCAGCCAGCGACTAAGCCCCACACAGCTGCTCACTCACTCCCCTCACAGTGGGATGAGGGAGAGAATCAGAGGAGTAAAAGTAAGAAAACACATGGGTTGAGATAAAGACTGTTTATTAGGACAGAAAAGTAAAGAAATAATAATCATAGTGGTAATAATAATAATAATAATAGGAGTAAAATAATTAGAAGATACAAAACAAGTGATGCACAATACAATTGCTCACACTTGCCAACTAACACCCAGCCAGTTCCTGGGCAGTGGCCCCTGGCCAACCTTCCTCAACGTTTATATACTGAACATGATGCCATATGGTATAGAATATCCCTATGGCCAGTTGGGGTCGGCTGTCCTGGCTGTGTTCCCTTCCAGCATCTTGTGTCTCCCCAGCCTTCTCACTGGCAGGGCATGTAAAGCTGAAAAGTCCTCGTCTTAGTATAGACACTACTTGGCAACAGCTAAAGATATCAATGCTATCCATGTTATTCTCATTCAAAACACAGCACTGTACCAGCTATTAGTAAGAAAATTGACTCGATTCCAGCTCAAACCAGCACACCAGAGAAACACACTCTGTGGTAGCGTTCCATCCCATCTCAAGTCCATACTACAACTTCCTCTGGCACGTGTAACCTTCATGTCCTGTAAATCCTCTTAACAGAAATGGCACACAGAACAGAAGCCTTTAGGACTAATTTGTCCCATGGGATCATTATCTACAATGTGTTACTCTTCAGGTCTATGCTATGTTTGTGCAGTATAAAAATCACTCTACTACTGCCTTTAAGGACTATCCAGCGAGGTGATGAGGGAGATGATGAGGGTTTTGGTAGCTATGGACAAAACATAGGTAATTTTGGTGCTCTTACAGAACTAAATATGAGAAGACTAATGCTTGACAAGAGAAGGCCTTTCAATTTGCAAGAAAAAAATATCACAATGATACCTTCCCAAAGAGGGTGGGAATCTTTTCAAAAACCTAAGACTTTCTTCTAATTCTTGCTACAACAACAAATGAAAGATTTGGGAACTACTTAAGCTAATAATAAGAGTATTTTTATATTATTTTGATTTGCAATCTCTAGTTGATCAATAGACCTAATGTCATAGACAATCTTTTTATTGCTTGGATAATTTTAGAGAGACATCTTCCAAAATTGCGTTCCTACTATAGTTTAGTATCTAAAATGTGATGCTTTTGTCTAGGTGTTTCTCTGTTTAAAAAAAAAAAAAAAATACTTAACCAAGGCTGCTTTCTTACTAAAGCTGGCAATTATCTTCTGTGTTCCTCATTCTATCCATGCAATTTACATTAGTTTAAGTCTGTACTAGCTAGTCTCCTAATGATTTTTCACATTGTTCTGAGATCAACAACACCAGTGATTGTTTTGTCGCTCTGTTGATTGTGACACTGCAGCCTGTCTCACTGATGCTCCCATGAGTCTACCCACAGGACATAGTTCTCACAGACATCAAGAACAGTCATGACTTATGCTCAAACTTATCTTTCCAATATGCTGTGTTGCAACTTCTTCCTGGCTTTCATTTTGAGTGTACAGTTCCTTTCAAATCCTTTATTACGAGCCAGTGAGAAGTCCTCAGTTAAATTTAGACAGTCTCATTGAGACCATATATGTTTAGCTAAACATGTAACATAGTTACCTGTGATGACTAGAGGCTGGATGTAATAACACAGTGTTATCCCCTGTCCTCCCAAATCAGGAAGGTTGTAGACTATAAAGAAGAGAAAGTTTGCCATTGCAAGCTTTACAGATTTAACCTGTCCTATACATATACGTTTCTTCCCCGTCTCTCATCTAATTCTTCTTCTCTCTATTCTACCTTTTGTTCCTCCACCCCTCCAAGCATAACATATTCACAAGTCAGCTGCTGGAATCTCAGTATTAAATGCTTTTAACATCTTTATAATACCTGTTATAGCAGTTAACAATTTACAAGGACAGAAGGATGCATTTCAAGGGAAATTTTCCCTTTGAAATATTTAAATGGATTTCATATTTGTTCTCAAGCAGAATGCAGTTGTGCTCAGCATGGTTACACTAATGCCAGAAAAATGTAAGCAAGAATGGGCATATAGTCTGAAGCTCATTCAAACTGGTTACACAGGCAAGCTTCCTTCTTCCAGGATACACTATTAGAAAAGTGGAAAGAGAGACAAAGGGATTTTTTGCAATATTTTAATATATGAGGCTTGCAAAGCAAAGAAAATCAACTTATATAGAAGGTCCTTGTGAGTTAAAACACATTATTATTCACATTCTGTAGACATCTGTAGGCAGAGACACACTGTGGTGCACAAAGAGCACTGGCCTTGTTTTTC